GATTAAAAAAAAAAAAAGATGTGGCACATATATGCAACAGAATATTACTCGGCCATGAAAAAAGAATGAAATCTTACCATTTGCAACAGTATAGATGGAGCTAGAGGGTATTGTGCTAAGTGAAATAAGCCAGTGAGAGAAAAACAAATACCACATGATTTCACTTACATGTGGAATCTAAAAAACAGTAAATGAACAAACAAAACAGAAACAAACTCATAGAAACAGAGAATAAACTGATGGTTGCCAGATGGGAGGAGGGTTGTGGGACTGGGTGAAAAAAGAGGAGGGATTAAAAAGTACAAATTGGCAGTTACAAAATAGTCATGGGGATGTAAAGTACAGCATAGCTGATACTGTCAAAAATCTATATATATAAAAGCCTAAGCATCCATTCAACCGGTAGCTATGACACACACTGACCACCAGGGGTCAGACTCTCTGACCGATAGGTTAGGTTGCTGGCCGTGGGTTAGCTTGCTGCTGGGGCCCTGTTGCTCCGAATCTGGTTCACCCGCACGCTGGACCCGGAGAGGAAGGAGGAAGGAGCCCGATTCCTCGTGGAATAGGCCATGGGCTAGCTTGCTGCGATATTAAAATATTTCTTCTAATTAATTTCCTTTAGATGTGCATGAATCCATGCACTGGGCCACTAGTATTTTAATAATTGTGTATGGTGTCAGGTGGGTATTAGACTTATGGGGGGATCACTTTGTAAGTTACATAAATGTCTAACCACTATGCTGAAACTAATATATTGAATGTCAACTGCAATTGAAAAGATATTTAAGTATTTCATGAGGATCAAAGACCTAATTATAGGAGCTAAAACTATACAAATCTTAGAAAAAATCATACCGGTAGGTGTAGATCTTTGTGACCTTGAATTAGACTGTGGTTTCTTAGATACAACACCAACAATACAAAGGAGAAAAGATAAATTGGATCTTACCAAAATTAAAAACGTTTGTGTTTGGAAATACACTACCAGAAAGTAAAAGGACAACAAACAGAATAGGAGAAAACAGATACAAATCATATATCTGTTAAGAGTCTAGTATCTAGACTATATAAAGGACTCTCACAACTCAATGATAGAAATATAAGTAACCCAGTTACAAAATGAGCAAAGTAATCGAAAGATGTGTAAATGACCAATAAGCACATGAAGTGATGTACAACATTATTAGTCATAGGGAAATGTAAATTAAAACCACTGCCCTAGCTGGTCTGCTTAGTAAATAGAGTGTCAAACCTTGATCATCGATTCTGGTCAAGGGCGTGTACCTCTGTTGTAGGCTCCATCCCTAGCACTGGCCTTGGTCGGGGCACTGTGGGAGGCAACCAATATATGTGTCTCTTTCACATCGATGTTTCTCTCTCTGTGTGTGTGTGTGTCTCTCCCCCTCCCTTCCACTCTCTCTAAAAATCAATCGGAAAATATCCTCGGGTGAGGATTAACAAAAATAAATAAATAAATAAATAAATAAATAAATAAATAAAATAAAAATAAAAGTTCCCAGCTCAAATAAAGAACTAAAAATTCAACAAAACAAGCAACTCAATAAAAAATGGAGGAAATTAAAAAGAAAAAAAACACTAAGATACCATTTCACATCCACTTGAATGGCTAAAATCAGAAAGATGGACAATAAAGTGTTGGTGTGAGGATGTGGAGAAATTGGAACCTTCTAACATTGCTAGTAGTGTCGTAAAATGATGCAGTTGCTTTGAGAAGTAGTTTGGCAGTTAAACATAAACTTACCATATGACTCAGCAATTCCATTCCTCAGTATATACCATGAGAATTGAAAACAATGTTTATATAAAACTTGTACATGGACGTTCAAAGCAACATTATTCAGAACAGCCCAAAAGTGGGAACAATCCAAATGTCCATCAACTGAGGCCCAAAATTCATGCACTTGGAGGAGGGGGGGTACCTCAGCCAGACCTGCGCCCCCTTACAGTCTGGGACCCCTTGGTGGACATCCCTCTCGAAATCAGGGATCCCTCACTCCTTACAGCTCAGCTCGCTGCTCCTTAGCACTGCTGCAGGTTGTGCCATCCCTGAGGCCGGTTCTGGCTGAGAGGCTGCTCCCCCTGTGGGAGTGCACTGACCATCAGGAGGCAGCTCCTGCGTTGAGCGTCTGCCCCTGGTGGTCAGTGCGCATCATAGTGACCGGTTGTTCCGCCATAAAGGTCGCTTAGGCTTTTATTATATAGATATCTATAACTGACAAATCCACAGAAATAGAAAGTAGACTTGTGGTTGTTAGGAATTGGTGGGGAGTAAATGGAGAGTGACTACTTGTGAGTATCTTCTTTTGGGAGAGATATTCTGGAATTAGATATTGATTATAGTTTCATAACTTTGTGAATATACTAAAAATCAATGAATGATCCACTTTTAAAAGGTGCATTTTATGTTATGTAAATTATATCTCAATTTAAAAAATATAGCTGGAACAATGGAGGTACCTTTTACTAAGATAGGGAAGACTAGGGAACTGTCACATATGGAAGAGAGAGGAAGAATTTGTTTGGAAATAGTAAGTTGGAAATACTGACTAGACATCCAAGCGGATTTATTAAGTAGGCAGTTGGAGATATTAGTCTGAAGTTTAGGGGACAGATATGGATTGGAGATATAAATTTGGAAAGAAATAATTAATACCTATAAAACAGAATGCTGCCTGGAGCAAAGTAGGACCTATGAACATTAGCTATTATATTTATTTTGTATGTGTAATAGCTATTATTCTAACACAACTGTAGAATTCCTTCCTCTATGATTTGTAATGCTACCTCTGTTATATACAAATCTCTCATTTAGACTGAGGGTCTTTTTCTATAATTGATTCTTTTTAGGAGTAATTGTTTTATGGGAGAGTAGATTGGAAGCTAAGAGTCCTCTCAACTTTTCTCAGTTCACTTTAAAAGAACATAAATGATTCTATGCTTCTGTGTCACCTTTGCTACCTAGAGAGAAATCACCTGGATTCTTTCTACCTTTCAGAGGGTGCTATGAGGATAGTTGAGATCCTAGGCAGGAAGTTCAGAAAGCTGAATACTACAAAGCTGCAGAAAGGAAAAGAGATTCAATCCAGTGGTTCTCAACCTTCTGGCCCTTTAAATACAGTTCCTCATGTTGTGACCCAACCATAAAATTATTTTCATTGCTACTTCATAACTGTAATGTTGCTACTGTGATGAATCGTAATGTAAATATCTGATATGCAGGATGGTCTTAGGCGACCCCTGTGAAAGGGTTGTTTGACTGTCAAAGGGGTCGCGACCCACAGGTTGAGAATCGCTGCATAGGCAATATTTTGAGTCAACTCTCCTTATAATTATAAATATTTTAAGTTTTATTTTAGCCCTAGCTGGTTTGGCTCACTGGATAGAGTGTCGGCCTGGGGACTGAAGAGTCCCGGGTTCGATTCCGGTCAAGGGCATGTACCTTGGTTGCAGGCACATCCCCAGTAGGGGGTGTGCAGGAGGCAGCTGATCGATGCTTCTCTCTCATCGATGTTTCTAACTCTCTATCCCTCTCCCTTCCTCTCTGTAAAAAATCAATAAAATATATTAAAAAAAAAATAAAAGTTTTATTTTAAGTTGTGGAAAGAAATACACAACAACATAAAAATTATCATCTTGGTAACCATATGAGAAAATTTTAATACAGTCTTTGCCTTTGATGTCTCACCCAAAATCTCCCCAAGGCTGTCTCCTCATGGTTCAATTCCAACTCCTGGTTCAAACGTTACTTCAAAGAGGCCTTCTCTCAACACCAGGAGTAAAGTTGCTTCCCCACTCCTGGTCTCTTTCTGTCTCATTACCCTGAATCACTCTCCACTAACTGAAATATTTGTATTCTTTTAATATATGTTTTTATTGATTTTTTTTTTGAGAGAGAGGGAGGGGGGTAGAGAGAAACATTGATTGGTTGCTTCCATGCATCCCAACAGGGGATCGAACCTGTGTATATGTGACCCTTCAGTGCACAAGAGGATGCTCCAACCAACTGAGCCACACCAGGAAGGTCTTACCTCTTTGTGTTTATTGGCTTATTAACTGTCTCCTCCTCCCACTAAAATATAAAACATACCAGAGCAGGAACCTGGTCTGTCAGGCTCTTCTCCCCATGCCTAGAACATACGTCCTGTTATGTATTTGTTATACTTGCTGAGTAATAAACATAGTGCTTTTCAATTCTCAAACAGTTTCAAATATATTATCTCATTTGATCATTACAACTCTGAGTAAAATGGGATTGCTAACTCAATTGTAAAGGAACTCAGAGATGCACCTCAGCCGAAGGCAGAGGGCTAAATGAGATGGGATCGCTGTGCCGGGGCTTGCTTTTTTCAATATCTTCACTCCAGTTCTAGGGCTAAGGGTATTTTAAACTTCCTTGCCAATAAGGAAATGAGGACCCTGGAGGATAGTGGGAACAACATGCACATGTTTTAAAAGTTGCCAGTTCCTGCAGTTGAACCCTTCCCAGTGACCTCCTCCCCCCCCCCCGCTCCCCCCCCCCCCCCCCCCCACAGCAGATTATGGCCACAGCGACGTTACTCTACGTGCAAAGAAGAAAATGCAACTACTCGGCTGTTTGGAACCCCGAATCCCTTGTGTACCTGCCTCAGGTTTTTCCTCCACCTTTTTCTTTTTAACAGCTTTATTCAGGTATAATCTTGTCTCGGTTTTTAAAATGCGTTCCTTTGGAATAATCTCATTCCCTAGAATATTTACTTCACTTTTTGGGTCTCCACTACTACAGGCACCTGTAAGGATTCCTTTTTCTTTTCCTTTCCCCCAACGTTTCGCAACCGGACACGTGTGATCTGTGTGTCCCGAACTCGTTCAGCCTCGCTCCCCAGACCTGCCCACTAAAAGCCTGGCCCCTACGTCTTCCCGGAGCCCCGCCCCTCGGCCCCTTTCCAATTCAGGCCCTTCGGATCTCGCCCTTCCTCCACCCCCCCCGCCCCCCCATATCTCGCGAGAGATGAGCGCGCCTGGCCGGACGAGAGGAAAGTATCAGCTCCGCTGAGGGGGGGGAAGAAGGAGCTGGAGACAGATTGTGGGACCGAGCGCGGGCGGGCGGGAGGCGACGGAGCTGCCAGCGGGTGAGTCCTGTTAACATTAACTAGCCCATGATGGGACGAGAGTCTCTCCTTCAACCCTGACCAGTCCCAGTCTCCCAGGCCGGGGTCTCCCCTCCTAGGTGTGTTGGACGGGGGCGCTGAGGCGGTGGCCGGGCCCTGTCTGAGGAAGAGGGTGGGGCATGGGCTAACGCTGGCCAATGAGAGAGAAGGAAGTAAGATTGGCGGCGATAAGCACTAATGGGAGGTCGTCTTTACCTTGCGGAGTGCCGCCCCTCTTTCCCTCCTCCCGCCTCCTTCCTTTGGGGGGGAAGGCGGGGCCAGAGGCCTGAAGTGTGGGGAGAACTTGGGGGTAAGTAGCCCCGGGGGGCACAGGGCGTGGCAAGAAGAGGGGAGTTGAATCCTGAGGGATTGGAAGTGTAGTAGTGTAGCCTACGGGAAGGATCCTGGGATTGGGGTGGAATGGGAGAAAGGGGAGGGGTGCTAAGCTGGCTTCTGAAAGAGTGGGGTTAGGGACTTGGCATTGGAAGAAGCTGGAGGTAATAGGCAGAAGGTAGGGATGAGTAGGTGAAAACATGGCAGTAAGTGAGCCTGGAAAGATAGGTAGGGTTTAGTCATTGGAAATGAGAAGCATGGCATTTCGATTGAATTATAAAGAAGAATATCAGGGACATGGTATCGGGAAAAGTATAGATTTGGAAAAAATTAAGTGAATGAGTTTAGGAAGACTTACATAGTGGTGGGCTTGGTAGCCAAAAGACTGCACTTTGAGAAGGGTATGGGGGACTCCAGAGGTGAAAGGGAGGTGTTTGGAAAGGAGACGGCTGATGTATACAGGTTTTGAATGTAGGTATCAGAAAAGACTTGGGTACTGTGTTAGGGCTTTTGGTGGGTATGACATCCAGTCTGGTGATCAGCCTGCAAGAATGCTGGATAGGGGTTGAGAAGGATAAGAAAAAAAGAACACTTTCATCACTTCTACTCTGATTTCCTTTTTCCCTCTCTAACTGTTCCCACATTTAATCTCTTCCTAACTCGGGGGTGGGGGCCTGGGACGGAAGCAGTCCAAGTCGGAGTCCCAGAAGGAGTTACTGTTGCTCGAATTGCTTGTTTATGTTCTCTGACGAGGGTGTTTACTACCCAGAGCACCTCCTACCCAAATTCCCATGTTGCTACTTTCCTAACTTTAAAAGTTTGTTTTCTGCTTAGTGGGTGTTTTAGTATTTCTGAAGGTTGTGTCATAAGTGAAGGTTTGTGGGAGTGTGCACAGTTTTCTCCGCAAGCCCACTTGATCCCTATGTTTAAAAACTTTGCAATAGTGTAAGTAATTTCTGTAGAGACATCAGTCTTTATAGGTTTTCTAAGCACAGAGAAATATACTAAACTGAAGTTTGTTTTGTTAAATACGTCTCACCTACTCATATTCTTTAAGAGTTGTTAAATGGATGGTTGCAGTTTTAATTAGCTTATGTGATATATTTTTAAATGGTGTAAATAAAATGGACACATATTTCAGGAAAGTGAAAAATTTCAGTTTCTTCCTTTGTGTCCAGACTCAGAAGCTAAATATATGTCACTATATCTTAGGGCAAGGGTTGGGGAAATCAAACACAATTTGTACTTAAACATGGAGGATGTAAGGTAAGTGGAGACTATTACGAAATGTAACATGTCTGTAAGGAAAGAAACTGAAAAGTTTGGCAGCTATACTAAGTAGTCTTACCAGTTCTTAATTCTGTACAGAATAATGACAAGCCTTTGCTCTTTGTTTGATAGTTGTGTATTATTTAATGATGAATTGGACTAATATAGCCAATTGGACTAATAACTACTTTATTAATACATATATTTATCTTTTACATTCCTTCTCTTCTCCTTTTACTTTTTTAAAAAAAAATATTTTTATTGATTTCAGCGAGGAGGGGAGAGGGAGAGAGAGTTAGAAACATCAGTGATGAGAAAAGCATTGATCGGCTCCTCCTACTAGGGATTGAGCCCACAACCTGGGCATGTGCCCTTGACTGGAATCGAACCTGAGACTCTTCAGTCCCCAGGCCTACGCTCTATCCACTGAGCTAAACCAGCTAAGGCGTCATCTTTTACTTTTGAGATGCAAATTAATAGCTGTAATACTGTTAAAGCTGTTATGTGAAGAGAAATCAGAGTATGTTGTTTTGTATTAACCTTTGGTTTTCAGCTACCATTTGAAGCTTTTTCTCTTGGCCAGGAAGTCGCCCATACAGCACACTGAGACCAATTGATTCCTGATCCTTCAGCATTACTTAACTGAATTTGGTTCCAGTATTTCGCATTCAGAACATTACTATTAGAGATTCAGACATTTTCACAGTTTGCCTGGCGATAGCACACAAAAATATCCAACAAAATAGCAAAGCCCCTTGTTTTAGTCTTCCATCCTAGAATTTGTGATGGCTTTGACTTGGGCACTGTTAAATGCAAGATTTGTTTTTCCCATTTCCCATTAGTGTTAGCAGAAAGTTAGAGAGTGCTCATCCTAAAATTTGTGAATCAAGGGTACCATCCCATGATAGTTCCAGTGTTGTAATTAGTAAGCATTTTTCTTTATTATGGATTTTAAATATTAATGGATATCATTACTGTATCTCCTTTTTTTTTCTCTCCCTACTTTCAACCCAAAATGGAAATCGTTTTTTTAACAAATTCTTAAGCTACTACTTTGCCTCAAGTAAAGTCCCTGGCTCTGTCTGAACACAGCTGCTCTGAAGTTCTCACAAGTTATTGTTTTGTACATGTCAAGACTGAGTTTTTCCTAGGCTGCAGTAGGAGGGAGTCAATGTTACAGCAGCCTCCTATCCACGTCTGATAAGGAGGAGCCTTCTCCTTGTGAGGAAGTTTTGGGTGGAGCAAATAGCATTGCCATATAAATATCTAATAAAGACAACTCTCTTTGTGGGACTAGTTGGCAGGCTGGAGTATAATTGTCCCTTATTTCTTGATAAACTAAAGTTAAGGTGCAGATGTTTCTTTAAGAAAAACAAATGCAGTATTCATTTAAAAAGAAGAAGCATTAATTTCTTTTGTTGTTGGTTTCTCTGAGAATGGTACTGATTTTAGAGTTCATGAAAAGTTTTCCATTTCTTTAGAAACATGTGAAAGAAAGCAGTTTTAAGTTTCTCATTTTTCAACGGTGCCTTCCTTCCTCTTAACAGACTTATTTTGGGATTAAGTATATTCATGAAATATGAAAAGGCATCATATTTGGAATCCCTGCAGCATAGTCTTTTACCTTCCGAATGCTATAAGACAAAGATCCCCACTTCACAGATTCCCTGTTCCATTTTGGAACTCTACTTTTAGAACATTCTTTACATTGTGCTGAAGCTCTTTAATTCTGCCATCTCAAGCTACAATAAATAAACCTAATTGTCAGCATGGCAGTCCTTCAAATATTTGATGACAGTTATGTCTTGTTAGGCTTCTGTTACTGGGATAAATATCCCAAGGTCTTTCAGCTATTCCTTAAATGACATTTTTAATCAAGTTCAGGCTCCTCATGAACTTAGTTGCCTAAGTTTTTAGGGCTTCTTGTCTAGGTCTGAATATAACATCTAAGATATCTGATCAGTAAAAGTACAGGGGAGAGTGGCCTCTTTTTAAAATTGAACTCTGTACCTCTATTTTTAAAGCCTAAGATCACATTAATTTGTATAATTGATTTTAAAAATATATATATTTTTATTGATTTCAGAGAAGAAGGGAGAGGGAGAAAGAAATAGAAACATCAATGATGAGAGAGAATCATTGATTGGCTGCCTCCTGCATGCTCCCTACTGGGGATTGAGCCAGCAACCTGGGCATATGCTCTGATCTGGAATCAAACCGTGACCTCCTGGTTCATAGGTCGATGCTCAACCACTGAGTCACGCCACCTGGGTGTGTAATTGATTTTTTAAATGTAATTGAAGACTTTACATTGATCCCAGTAACTGTCATCTTGTTGGTTTTGGTGTATTGTTTTAGCTTGATAATGTTATTTAGCCTCTTGGGCATTCCTCATATTTTTGTATCGATAGATAAATGTGATAAACATGACTCCTATGGTATATGTTTTCTTTTTTTTTTTTAATATATTTTATTGATTTTTACAGAGAGGAAGGGAGAGAGATAGAGAGTTAGAAACATCGATCAGCTGCCTCCTGCACATCTCCTACTGGGGATGTGCCCGCAACCCAGGTACATGCCCCTGACTGGAATCGAACCCGGGACCCTTCAGTCCGCAAGCCGACGCTCTATCCACTGAGCCAAACCGGTTTCGGCGGTATATGTTTTCTTAATTTATTTTTTATTGTTGACAGTATTACAGATGTCCTAACACCTAAGTTTTTGTTTTAGGACACTGGTAAAATATATAAGGGTGAAGCAATGCTTTAACATCAGCATACTATCAATAGGTTGATATTAATCCATTAATCAGTCTTTTGGATAAAATTCATTTATGAATCCACCTACTGTTTTATCACCTAACCTGTATTTCTTATGAAGTAGTAAGAGTTGTCCTGTTGTAATCTAAATATATTCTATTTCTGGGCATATACCTGAGCTCCTTGGCTAGAGACCCTGTTAAAAAAAGAAAATGAAGTTAGACATGAGTTACTATTTTGCCATCTTATGCTAATGTTTATAGATCACTGCATTACTTGCCAGTTGTTTAAAGCCATCTACTGAATAATTCATTTTATAATCTTCTTGGTAAACAATATTTCATCAGTCTATAGTTTCTGGACTCTACCTTCCCTGCCCCCTATTTTTTTCAAGTATGTTTTCCCCCAATTTCCAAGACTTCTGGTTCTGCTTCCTTTTTTTGTTTAAATTAATATAGAATAATTAGCAGTGTTTCTTTATAATTGTATGCTTTTTGTCATCAGATGAAATTCTGTTTTAGAAACTATTTTAGGACAAAATGCTATTCCCTGAACATTTTAAGTTACATATTAAAGAATTAAACTATTGTCCACATAACAGTTGTATTATGGTTTTCCATA